GAATCGTACTATTATTATTTCGAATTATAGATAGAATCTTATGATAGGATCTTATGGATCGAAAGGGTGGAAGACGATTATCATTAATCGCGTCCATAATACGGAAGGCAACTCAATCTGTCTGTCAGAGAACAGACATCCTGCTCGAGACGTCTAACGTCACAGGCAAATCCGAGATCGTGTAATTAACAGGATATATCCTCTCTCGCTCCTACCATTCTCCCATATGCCAATCCGTTCCTTCAAAGGGAAGCTGGTCTGATCCTGTTGCTGTCGTAGACAGAAGCAGATCTCAGGTTGCTACTTCTATTCAAAATGTTCATCAAATATAACTTATCCATTACACATTCTTTAAATCTCGTTTATTAATTCTACGAGTTTTAAATCAAAATATTAAATATTACATAATTTACTAAAAATATAAAAAATTTTGCAAAGTATATCTCTTTTTCATCAAAAACAATGTTGTTATTTAAAATGTAACAATTATTGAACATCAGTAAATATTAAATTTCATAAAATCATACTTATAAGAACACAATTAATAAAAAATAATGTCTTTAACAATCTAGTTGGATCCTAGGTGCTGGTATAATTCCATGTAAATTTGTATACTACGAATGTAGTTCTATAAAAATTGCGTGCCGAAACAACTTTTCGATCTTAAAACGTAAATTCTTCTAAACTAGCGCAGTAATATTACGAGTTAAATTAACTAGCAATTTAATAATTCAATGCTCTTTACACATTTTAGAATCATTTTAATAATGTTAAATGATAAATCGGTAAATAATTATATAATTCTTGTTGCAAAAAATATTTTATATTTTGTAATATTAACAATTAAATAATCATATATGTAATTATATTACAAATGACAATAAGTAGAAGTATATAAAGACTTACGTAAAACTAAGAATTTTTTAAATCTGATAAAGATACGACACACACACTCACGTGAGAAATTGAAAGAACTTTAGAGAAATCCGTTTTATCAGCTTATTTATCAGTAAGAAAAAATTGTGGTAGAAGATTTGTTCCACGTGAATGGTCTATATGCGTTCAAAAAGTGGATAAAAATCGCATAAAACGTTAGTGGAAGGGAGGATATATATTTATTCGAACGGCATTGACTTCTTGTACTTCAACAGCCATCATTCTTTGTGATCTGACAATGTTCTCATGACTTTCTTCGTCTGCAGTTTGTGGACAACGAAAACTCAAATGGACATTTATAAAGTACTTACCCATACTATCGATCCTTAACGGTACGTGCTTTTCTGTGAAAAACCACAAAATTGACGATAACAATTCGACTTGAAGAAAGAAAGACAATAAATATGAGAAATAAAAATTATAAAGAAAGAAAGCTTTTTCTTTCTAAATAAAGGGATATGTTATGCTTTAGTTGTTTTCTGGTTAACATAAAGAAATTTTGAGATATATAAATTATATGTACTATATGATTATGTTAAGGACTATGCGGAGTTGAATGGTGTATTTTGGGGAAATATCGGGAACATGAAAAAAAATCGTTATTAAAGACAACAATCACTAAATCATACTTATTAATAAAAAATTGATATTTTAATCAATTGTATCTTGGAGAAATTAAATTTACATGTATAAATCTTTTTCAAGAAATGTATGAAAGAAACGGCTTATATTCCTGAAAAATTTATCGTATTATATTTGGCTGCTAGCTTACAGTCTATTTTTTCCAGATAGGAGTAAGTAAAGCGATCAGCGAATTTCTTTTGCGTTTTTTACGCGTTTTCTCGCGCCTCGAATCTCATCAAATATTTGCACGACTTTTCGCGCCTTGATGTATCTGTCGGATCTTCGCGTTTGTTGTACTTGGGAATTTGCGGTTCCGCGTAACTTTATTCGCCTTTAGCGAGGGCTTAAACTTTGCTTCTCTTCTCTTCATAAGAAAACTTCTCTCGAGGGAGCGTTAACGATGGATTTTCTGGCAAAATCAAAAGAAGCTACTTTGGCCCTTAATAACACAACTATAAATCAATAAATTCTATTATTATATTTATATATGGTGTGGTCCTTATTTAATCTTGATCAAACTTTTTTTTTTAATTTTTTTCGCCGTATACTCAAAAAGATCCAACCCACAAGAAAATAAATTCTGCCAAATTCCAACTTTATCAGATAATGGGAACTCATTTCTGGCTCGTTAATCATTCAAGTTCCTTTACATTATAACTTTTTACACTATCAGCATTGGTTTTTATAGAGTATTTTCCATAAAAATCGGCCTAAAGGACTTTTTTTCTTTGTACATGTGTATCTTGCTTTTTTGCATTGTTTGAGACCATATGCGACTCAATTAAACAATTAGTGAATTGTTAATGACTAAAAAATAAAAATAAAGTTATTACGTTTTTATTCTTAATTATTTAAGATGGAAAAATTAATTCATGGATTAAAACAGCATTAGTTATTATTGGAGAACAAAATACATTTTGAAAATAAACATAATGAATTTTGTTTTTATTAATAAAGCGATTTTTTACATTTCATTACATAATAATTAATAATTATATTACAATTACAAGTTATTTTGCATTGTTAGTCATTGACACCCTGGATAATTCCAAGTCACTAAAAAAATTCTTGATGCTGCTATCTCGAAATATTATGACAGCTGTAAAAACATGAATGTATGATAATATATATGTAGACCGTATAAGAAAAATAAGAAACATTATCACAAAAGTATCATTTTCTTTTTCGATTTAGCAGCGCCAAATGTTTTACATAAAAAATTTGTCTATTTATATAGATTAGAATAGGAAAGTTCTTTAATAAAAATACAAAAATAAGTACGTACTTATACGTGTTTTTAATTTTTTGCTCCAAATAAGATACATTGTAGTTATTACAGAAAATTTTAGAGACTATATTTCTTTGTGAAGCAATTGGTAATGGGTCTTTTTGAACTAATCAAATTGCAAAGCTTATTAATTCTATAAAAGGAAATTTTTGAGACAATTATTCATGATTTTTTTGAATTTATCTGAAATTGAATTTACAAAAAGGGAATTATGAATCACACATTTTTGATTGGAATCTGAGATTTGTTTGTCTTTCGGGTTCTTCCTAATAAAAAGAGTTAACAGAGAACGCTTGAGAACGATAGTATTTCTATCAATATGTATCGTTTTCTACAAGTTCATGACATTTTCTATCGTCGACTTCTCGAGTATTACGATTGATAGGGATATGAATTGTATCATTTTATATTATACATATTTTATCAGATTTTATAAGATTTGTACAAGATTCCTATAAGATCTGATTCAAATTAGCAAATTACCAAAGGTGATACGGACGTGTGATGAAGAACAGCGAGATCAATATTCAATACTATATATACAAGATTTCAGAATATCGGTTACAGTGGGTGTTTTCAGCAGAAAAGCAGCTATGCAACTGATGTACCGTTCTTTAATAACATTAGGTTATACATTCGAATCCAAGAAAACCTAAGAATAAAAGCCAATCGTACTAAGAATCTTACAAAATTGCTTTTTTTACTGCATGCAGTTATTGTTAAATTATTTTGCTTACTTCGTTTCGGAAAATATTCGAGAAATAATTATTTCAAAATTAATATGAAATATCACAATAATTAGTGATTTAGTAGTGTTAGAATTTCAACGATTTAAAAAAGTAATGTGCTTAAGATTTTTAAAGAAACGCATCGTGAAGAAAGATTAAAACTGCAAATTAAAATCGCAGTGCTTAGATTATTTATTATTAAAGAATTATTACATATATACAAGTAAAAATTTAAATGTTACAAGGTCATACAAGTTTCTGTTATATTTTTATTTAAAAAATAATGATACTAGAGAATTGTATTATTTTATTCAATTAAAATATATAATTTTTTTTAAATATATAAATCTCTAAATTGCGTTAGTTATAAACATAATATACTTTTTCTTTAAATATTATTGTCGTACTACTTCTTTTACAAAATAAAATAAAAACTATTTTCCAAATCTATTACAAACTTATATTTCTTAAAAATATTATAAAACTCAAGTGTATATGTATATATTTTTATTCTCATTTAAAGATCTTCCTATTCCAATCCAAGTAATATACATTTTTCTATTTCAAGTCAGTAAAATTTAATTATAAAGAATTGAAAAGGTAAAAATATTTTTTTCTTAATTATATAAACTAAAAATATTTATTATATTTCAAATAAAAATATTTTTTTACAGTAAAAGAAACTTACAATTAGTGCTAGTATACGGTTAACAATACAAAATGCATGTTATCACGATAAAATTACCTTTTTTATAAAGGTAAAAAAAAGCGCTAAGTGTACGAACTTTATGTGTGCTCCTTGAAAAAATATGACTTCCCATTCCAAATCTGTTTTCCAAACTATCAAAGTAATCAAATTTTTTTTCTAAAAATCACAAAAATATGTAAAATCTTTAAATTGCGTCAATTATAAACAAAAAATACATTTCGTTGAAACTAATGTTGTAATATAACTATTTTTAAACAATAAAACTCAAGTGGTTCTACTTTTAATTCTTCTTAAAAAATAATAGTTACTTTCAATCTTTTTTAAAATAATAAAATTTCAATTTTTTTTAATAATAAATAAAACTAAAATTAAAAAATTGTTTTATTTAACTTAATCAATTTAGTTAATAAATAAGTATCTTGTGTTTGTTGCGTGCGTATGTGTACATGCATATA